CTCAGGCCCCCGCGCAGCGTTTTTGGAGAGGGATGGTTTTCTTTACACGAGGTGCAGCAGGGCTTCTCCAGCACCTCCCAGCAGGAACACTGGGCCAGAAGGGACTGCCCAGTTACCTCATCCTCCTGGTCCCAGGAAGCCACGTCGCCCAGAAGGGGCTGCAGGCATACTCTAACACCACGGGCTCTGGAGTAATATCACTTGAGTTCTGAGTCCTGCATCTTCCTCAGCCTTCCAGGCTTCAATAAAGTGAACTCTTCAAAACCAAGGTGACAACAAACCATGGGAAAACCCATCCCCTCCAGCTGGGGTGAGGACAGGTTATCCCCACAGAGGACAGTCACCCACCCTCCTTTGTTGAGCTCATCTGTTTCTTAGAAACATCCCCTCCCAACTTTGTTTAAATACTGCTGTCAGGATTTAGCTTAAAACTTAGTTCTCCTTCCAAAACGCAGACAATTCCATTTCCTCATGTCTCAGATAACCCTGCATCTCCTGAGATGACTGGGGCACAGTTAAAACCTCTGCCTGGTAACAAATGGAAATTCCACGGCTGACCACGTGAACAGCCCCCTCCTGCCGTCGAAACCCTGCAGGGGGGCAAAGAAAGGGAACTGGCGGTATGAAAACGCATAAATAAAAGGTATACGAGAACTGAAGATAGGCTGATAAGGCAGAGGAGAGACGTAAGCAGTTGGACGTACTGCAAGGCAAGAAAAAAAACGCTCCAGAGCTGAGAAGCCGCGAACTCCCTCTACCTGGATGTCACTGAGCGTGTTTCCTCAGGCCTTCCCTAGTTTTAGTTTCTGGACCCCTCACATACTTTCCACCTGAACCTAAAGCCCCTGTCCACAGCCTGCTTTTCTGTATGGGTATTCAGGCAGACTCACCAGGAAACCCAGACATGCAAAGAGCTTACTGATCAAAAGGAAGCCCTGCAGCCCCACCACAAACTGCTCTACCCAAACGCCATCACATATTTACACTATTTACAAAGTCAGAAAAATGCATTTATAAACCCAGACGTGTTCTAAGCGCTTAAACATCTTATCGGCTCCACAGAGCTTTAAGCAGAAGTGCAAGCTGTGTCCAAGCAGACAGCACTCTTTCAGTTTTGTATGTCCCGTGGAGACCCGACCCTCAGTCTGCCCGAACTGAAAGCAAAACCGAAATCGGTTCTATTGCTTCTTTTGAAGTGCTGGAGCTCTTCAGCTGCAGCACATTTTTTTCTCTGTTCGTGATTAGCAAACCAGAAGTGACAGTATCTCCTGCTTTGTAAGCGGACAGCGGCCGCGTGAGTCTCTCTCGGTACAAACGCACGACTTTTAAATGAGCAAACAATGAATTCGCTCTTAGGGACTTTCCACGTCCCGTCGGAAATAGCGCAGCGAGGGACTTTCCGCAGTGGGAGCGCTGAGCTGCTGCAGGACGTTGCACACATTGCTGGCTACGGATGCAAGCGTACCGCACGAGGCCAGCTCTGCGCGGCCGCACGAAGCCGGCAAGCCCACC